TAGGTTATATATGATATTAACCATATGTGTCAATTCATAACAGCCAAAATATGGTTAAAACATTAAATTTTTCTTGGGACAGCTTTTATTGAGTTTGCTCTATAGATAATTTGCGATCCGCCACTGATGAGATTCAGACTTCCTAGATAGTGGGCTGCCATAATCAGAACATTGCTATGTGCTAGATGCTGGCAAATCTATCGGTTGTCATCCCGCTTCGACAGAGAACCACAACAGACGCTGCTCCCATGAAGAACATAATGTATCCTGTTTTGGAATAATGCACAAAAAAGCAGTGCACAACAAAGGAAACAAGAGTAATCCGAAAGAGATCACAGCCATCTAAAAAACAACAGCCGCTTGTTGCCATCTTGAAAGTGGAAGTCCAGTTAAGCTAATGAAGAACGATCAGCCATGACCTGAGAAGACAAACTAGTTCGGCTAAACAGGGAGGATCAGCCATGACCTGAGAAGACACACTAGTTCGGCTAAATAGGGAGGATCAGCCATGACCTAAGAAGACACACTAGTTCGGCTAAACAGGGAGGATCAGCCATGACCTGAGAAGACACACTAGTTCGGCTAAACAGGGAGGTTCAGATATGCCCTAAGAAGACACACTAGTTCAGCTAAATAGGGAGGATCAGCCATGACCTAAGAAGACACACTAGTTCAGCTAAACAGGGAGGTTCAGCCATGACCTAAGAAGACACACTAGTTCGGCTAAATAGGGAGGATCAGCCATGACCAGAGAAGACACACTAGTTCGGCTAAACAGGGAGGTTCAGCCATGACCTGAGAAGACACACTAGTTCGGCTAAACAGGGAGGTTCAGCCATGACCTAAGAAGACACACTAGTTCGGCTAAATAGGGAGGATCAGCCATGACCTAAGAAGACACACTAGTTCGGCTAAATAGGGAGGATCAGCCATGACCTAAGAAGACACACTAGTTCGGCTAAACAGGGAGGTTCAGCCATGACCTGAGAAGACACACTAGTTCGGCTAAATAGGGAGGATCAGCCATGATCTGAGAAGACACACAAGTTCTGCTAAACAGGGAGGATCAGCAATGATCTAAGAAGATACACTAGTTTGGTTAACAATGGAGGATCAGCCATGACCTGAGAAGACACATTAGTTTTGCTAAAGAGGGAGGATCAGCCATGACCTGAGAAGACACATTAGTTTTGCTAAAGAGGGAGGATCAGCCATGACCCAAGAAGACACATTAGTTCTGCTAAAGAGGGAGGATCAGCGATGACCCAAGAAGACACATAAGATCGGTTAATAAGGGAGGATCAGCGATGATATGAGAAGACATACTAGTTTGGTTAACAGGAAAGGATCAGCCATAATCTGAGAAGACAAACTAGTTCGGCTAAATAGGGAGGATCAGCCATGACCTGAGAAGACACACTAGTTCGGCTAAATAGGGAGGATCAGCCATCACCTGAGAAGACACACTAGTTCGGCTAAACAGAGAGGATCAGCAATGATCTAAGAAGATACACTAGTTCGGTTAACAATGGAGGATCAGCCATGACCCAAGAAGACACATAAGATCGGCTAATAAGGGAGGATCAGCAATGATATGAGAAGACATACTAGTTTGGCTAACAGGGGAGGATCAACCATGACCTGAGAAGTCACATTAGTTCTGCTAATGAGGGAGGATCAGCCATGACCCCCTCAAAAAAAAACCACTAGATCGGCTAATGAGGAAGGATCAGCCATGACCTGGCAAGATAGACTAGACTGGCTAATTCAGAAAGTATCAACCAATATATTTGTTGCAATGGTCAGTCAAAAACAACAGACTCTGTATACCATGGGTCTGCATGACAATTACGGCAATTTCCCCTGTAATGATGCTGAATAATCAGCATCCACATACTGCAGACCGTGTGGGGCCCAGGCTCCCAAATACTCTTGGAATAAATGCCCAAGAAGCTTGAATCAATGCATCAATAGCAGTGTTGCCATTTTGGATGTTTTACATCCAGATTTAGATCTTTTTTCTTGTATTTAGATGGCGTTTTTGACATTTAGATGGTAGATATTTTCTAGATGTTTTTCATTTGAAGTGACTTTATCAAATCTAACCTAAGAAACAGGATGAAATTTGACCTCTTAAATGCTATCTTGACCATAAAATTTGACCTGATAAGAGTAGGAAAAGGCTGTTCCACTTATCAGCTGGTTGATTGAGTATTAAAAGAAATTGGAACAGCTAAAGCATACCAGAGTCATTTTGGATCTGAAGCTTCAAATTCATCATCCAAGCTAAGTTTATCCTGTGGATCTTGTGAGGCAGACCAGTAAAGATGATAACATGATTCTATAGTGTAAGTCATATCAATTGCTATGTAATTTGTGACTCTTTCCATGTGGATGTTTTTTCTAGACGTTTTCCACGCAAATTTAGATGTTGTTAGATACTTTTTGACACCATTTTGGATGTTTTTTTTAATCAAAGAAAAGTGGCAACACTGATCAATAGCAACCAATGTAATCAGTTCATATGAGACTAGAACAATTGCCATAATTGAGTGCTTAAACAAACAAGTGCCTTTGTTTAGCAGCAGTCTGTTAATAACTACAACATACAAACATATTTTAGTCTGTTATTGACTACAACATACAAACAACTGTTAGTCTGGTAATGACTACAGCAGACAAACAACTTTCAGTTGTCAGACATCAGTATCAACTATTTACAACAAAATAAAACATACATTTTCTTTTGTAGCATAGCAGTGTCCATTATTTACTGTAACAAATGCTCAAATCACAGGTCAAAGTGGAAATTGCTAAATCTGAAAACAAACAATGAAAAAAATATTCTTCCCAATGACAACATAGCTAATCGAACATAAAGATCACAACCCTTCAGCTGGGGCATTAAAAAAAAAAGATAGCCACCCCAATAACAAACCATCACTATAAAATAGACAATCAAACCGATAACAAACCATTACTATAAAATAGACAATCACCCCAATAACAAACCATTACTATAAAATAGACAATCACCCCAATAACAAACCATTACTATAAAATAGACAATCACCCCAATAACAAACCATCACTATAAAATAGACATTCACCCCAAAAACAAATCATTACTATAAAATGGATAACTTCCCAATAACAAATCATCACTAAAAAATGGATAACTCACCAATAACAAACCATCACTTTAAAACAGGTAATTCCTAGTAACAAACCATCACTAAAAAAATAACCACCCTAATAACTAAATATAAAATTGATTACTTCCCAATAACAAACCATAACAAATTATCAACATAAAATAGAAAACTATCCCAAAAACAAATTATCAACATAAAATATAAAAATATCCCAATAACAAATTATCAACATAAAATATAAAAATATCCCAATAACAAATTATCAACATTAAATAACCATCTGAATAAAAAACTATCACAGAAAACAACACCTGATAAGAAGTAATCCATTCAAACACACAAAATAACCCTTCCCCCACCTACCCCCTTTTATTTCCTTTAATCCCATTCAACTTACAGTTTATTATGTTGATATATATTGAATTGAACAGAAGAGAATTATGCACCAATGAATTAATTTGAAATGTGTAAAATGTGAGCAATGAAATCAGGGGGGGGGGGGGGGGGGGGGATATGTGGAACACACCGCTGGTCAATTAGTGAGCAATGAAGTCAGGGGTGAATAGAACACACCACAGGTCAATTAGTCAGCAATGAAGTCAGGGGTGAATATACAGAACACACCACAGGTCAGTTAGTGAGCAATGAAGTCAGGGGTATGGCCAGTGAGCAGTAAAGTCCAGTGAATAAGTGCAATGCCATTGGTCAGTAAGAAGCATTAGACACAGGGATAAATGCTGTAAAGTTGACACAACAAATAAAATCTGGCCGACAAACTGGGTGAAAGAAAGGCATAGATCCAGCTTATTTGTGTGCATACTGTTGGTCTCTCGCTTCTCATACAGATGCACTCCGACTTTGAAAGAAATAACCCAAATCAGTCACTTTTTAATGTCATGCTTGTTAGGAAGGCTGTAGGTCTGTTCTTATCCCCCCCGCTTCTAAAAAAGGGCCCTGGAACCCATACAGGAAGTATGCAGACTGTTGGTTCCTCACCTCTCAAGCAAAAAAAACTTTTGACTTTGAAGGAAACCCCTAATTAGTTGCCTTTTATGACATGCTTGCTGGGAAAAGGTGGCCAGGGGGGGGGGGGGGGGGGGGGGGTGGATGTATTATTTTACTATTAAAAAAAAAGGGCTGTGGAACCCATACGAAAATGCCAATGTTTCAACTAGTCATCATCGATGAACCAAAAATCTGAAACCAAGAATGATCTTCATCATCATCATCATGTGTCAAGTTGCCAAGCAGAACATCACACTCCACAGAAGACTGTCACTTCCATTTGCATGCCCATCATCATCATCATCATTATCCCATAACACTACATGTCATTGGGTCACCAGCTGCTGTTGATCGCCTGATCAGCTTTCTCAACCTTTGATGGTCAGATGCATTGGACTTCATGGTTGCACACCTAAGGTCTATCCAGTCAGTCAAGTTCTGTATCTAGGTCTGCCTATTCCCCTCTACTGAGTGTTTTCATCACTACTGAAGGTGAAAATCCCAATTATTACAAGTACCAATGCACTCAATTTCAAATTTACTTCACGCCCTCTTTAAAGCTTCCTCACGCCACTCTAACCCATCGTTTGGAGATGAGTGATCTAAAATGACCTTGAATTTAAAGTATTTTGTTGTTGCTGTGATATTCATTACTTCATAGGTCAATTTTTACACTGACATATAAGTATATATACTCAGATGTAGGTTTAAACTGTCATATCTGTGTGTGTATATATAAATATAAATTTATATAATATATCTATTCCTGTGTGTGTGTGTGTGTGTGTGTGTGTGTGCGAGCGTGCACGTGATGACATGTATGTCACTAAATCCCTAATCCTACTGCTGTTTGCAGTTTTTCTGTTGGGCTTTTCCCCGGGATGCTGGGTCCCTCCTCCGCTGACCCTGGACTGGTTGCCATGACGACATGACCGGTTCTCCAGCGATAGCATTCTCATGTCCTAATGAGCCAGCCAATGGGGGATCTGACGACATAATAAACCAATCACAGACTTTCAGTGAGACAGGTTGATAAGACTATGAGATATAAGAGGTACATACCAATGAGGTATGTCAATGGGGTACATCAATGATACATCAGTGTATGAGGTACATGTCAATGAGGTATGTTAATGAGACATCAGTGTATGAGGTAAATGTCAATGAGGTATGTTAATGAGACATCAGTGTATGAGGTACATGTCAATGAGGTATGTTAATGAGACATCAGTGTATGAGGTACATGTCAATGAGGTATGTTAATGAGACATCAGTGTATGAGGTACATGTCAATGAGGTATGTTAATGAGACATCAGTGTATGAGGTAAATGTCAATGAGGTATGTTAATGAGACATCAGTGTATGAGGTACATGTCAATGAGGTATGTTAATGAGACATCAGTGTATGAGGTACATGTCAATGAGGTATGTTAATGAGACATCAGTGTATGAGGTACATGTCAATGAGGTATGTTAATGAGACATCAGTGTATGAGGTAAATGTCAATGAGACACATGTCAGTGAAGCATCAGTATATAAGGTATGTTAATGACACATCAGTTTATGAGGTATGACAATGATACAAATGTCAAAGAAACATCAGTATATGAGGTACATTATTGTGACATCAGCATAAGAGGTACATGTCAATGCAGAATGTTAATGAGATACATGTCAGTGAAACATCAGTATATAAGGTACATGTCCATGAGGTATGTCATTGAGACACATGTCAATGCAGAATGTTAATGAGATACATGTCAGTGAAACATCAGTATATAAGGTACATGTCCATGAGGTATGTCATTGAGACACATGTCAATGCAGAATGTTAATGAGATACATGTCAGTGAAACATCAGTATATGAGGTACATGTCCATGAGGTATGTCATTGAGACACATGTCAATGTGGTATGTTAATGAGATACATGTCAGTGAAACATCAGCATATGAGGTTCATGTCCATGAGGTATGTCATTGAGACACATGTCAATGTGGTATGTTAATGAGATACATGTCAGTGAAACATCAGCATATGAGGTTCATGTCCATGAGGTATGTCATTGAGACACATGTCAATGTGGTATGTTAATGAGATACATGTCAGTGAAACATCAGTATATGAGGTACATGTCCATGAGGTATGTCATTGAGACACATGTCAATGTAGTATGTTAATGAGATACATGTCAGTGAAACATCAGTATATGAGGTACATGTCCATGAGGTATGTCATTGAGACACATGTCAATGTAGTATGTTAATGAGATACATGTCAGTGAAACATCAGTATATGAGGTACATGTCCATGAGGTATGTCATTGAGACACATGTCAATGTGGTATGTTAATGAGATACATGTCAGTGAAACATCAGCATATGAGGTTCATGTCCATGAGGTATGTCATTGAGACACATGTCAATGTGGTATGTTAATGAGATACATGTCAGTGAAACATCAGTATATGAGGTACATGTCCATGAGGTATGTCATTGAGACACATGTCAATGTAGTATGTTAATGAGATACATGTCAGTGAAACATCAGTATATGAGGTACATGTCCATGAGGTATGTCATTGAGACACATGTCAATGTAGTATGTTAATGAGATACATGTCAGTGAAACATCAGTATATGAGGTACATGTCCATGAGGTATGTCATTGAGACACATGTCAATGTGGTATGTTAATGCGATACATGTCAGTGAAACATCAGTATATAAGGTAAATTAATGAGACAGTATATGAGGTACATGTCCACGAGGTATGTCAATGAGACACATGTCAATGAAACATCATTATACGAGTAACGTTACTGAGAAATCAGTATATGAGGTACATGTCAATGAGTTATATCAATGAGACAGTTCAGGAATTATACTCATATTCTTCTTCTTAGTGTTTACCAGCTGTGTAAACTCTGGCGGAATGTTCTGGTTGTTCATCCCCTTCTGGACTTTAGTCCTTTTCTAGAACTTACATTCTGTGCACACATCAGTTTCAGAGATCTGCTTATTTGTATGCAGACTGTTGGTTCCTCACCTCTCAAGCAGATGCCATCTGACTTCAGAGGAAAAGTCCCCAATTAACAGCCTTTTAGGACATGCTTGTTTTGGAGGGCAGGGGTCTATTTCCCCTTCCCACCCAAATGGGGTCCCCAGAATCCACAAGGTGAAAAGAGGTAAACAACAATGTATAGCATCTGTTGTTCTAAGCCTGTCAATCTAAGAAAGCCATTTTTCCAGCATTTATGGGTTTTATTAACCCAAAATCTTTGCAATGGCCACCAAACCTATACAACAGCTTTGGCTGGAACTGTTCTGTGAGCAGAAATAGTGAGCGTGATTATATTGACACCCCCCCCCCCCAAAAAAAAAAAACCACCCAGTGCTATTACTTGGGGTGAAAACAAATCACATTTTTCAAATGCTGACATCCTCGTAAGTTCATAATAATCTCATTACAATGTCACTCTGCTTCATATGGCTGTCAACCTGGTGTGGGTTCGGGGCTCTATTGTGGGGAAAACAAGAATAGACTCACTGCCGCCCCAACATGCATGTCGTAGGAGTCGACTAATTTGGGAGCTTCCTTCAAAGTCGCAGTGAATCTGCCAGAGCAGCAATGAACAACGAACTGGTCAAAAGGAAAGAATTTAGTAAATTCTTTCCCCCGTTCGCATTAAGTGATTACTTTCCTTTATGTAAAAAAAAAAAAGTACTTTGACTATAACAGTGACCTGACGTAGGTTACAAAATTTTATTTATGTTTCTAGCGACCTGAAATCCATGAAGTAGCTGCAGTTTTCCTATTTGACTGTTTGCTTGTTAGTCTGGAGGTTTAATTCCCTACATTCTTGTAATTTCTACTCTTCTTTTTTTCCCCTTTTTCCTGAGGCAGAGTTTCAGAGAATTGTAAGGATGCTTTTCTTTTTAAACACAGTTTTAGAAGGAGTAATTTTTCAGATTTTTACAGAGTGAAAGGGTTAATTTACACAGATAACAGACACTCTATAAAGATATGATCTCAGACAAGACACAGACTTTACAGATATGATCTCAGATAAGACACACTCTATACAGGTATGATCTTAGACAAGAAACACTTTATACAGATACAATCTAAGAAAAGACATACTTTATACATATATGATCTAAGACAAGACACACTTTATACAGATATGATCTAAGACAAGACACACTTTATACAGATACAATCTAAGAAAAGACATACTTTATACATATATGATCTAAGACAAAACACACTTTATACAGATATGATCTAAGACAAGACACACTTTATACAGATATGATCTAAGACAAGACTCACTCTTTACAGATATGATCTAAGACAAGACACACTCTATACAGATATGATCTAAGACAAGACATACTCTATACAGATATGGTCTACAACAAGACGCAGACACTCTATGTAGACAGGATCTAAAGCAAGACACTCTATGAAGATATGATGTAGGGCAAGACTGAGACACTCCATCTTTTCTTTTTCTTCATGTTCACCAGCTGTAAACTCCAGTGGAAAGTTCTGGTTGTTCGTCCACGTCTGGGCTCTAGTCCTGATCCAGAACGTGAGTGTTGCATGCACATCAATTTTGATGACTTATCTGTGTGCAGACTGTTGGTTGCTTGCCTCTCAAGCAGATGCACTCTGATGCAAAGGGAGCTCCTAGTTAGTCAACTCTTACGACATGCTTTTGGGCAGGCAATGGGTCCAGAACCCACAGAGGAAGACATTCTATGGAGATTTATGGATGATTGGAAATAAGACAGAGACACACTATGAACATATGATCAAAGACAAGACAATGAAGGGATGGTCTGACAAGACACTGTCGACAAAATGTAAGTATGTTACCTTGCCAGCCATGGACCAGGGCTTTAGTTTTTCTTAGGCTTCCTCTCAGATTTGGATCCCACTCCAGCTCTCCGTCTAGTTCAGTGAAGAAAAACAAGCAACAAATGAAATGGGCTGATTCTGAAAACACCATCTCCTGTTCTCATACAATAAAATCAGCTGGCACTAGCTAGGATACTACCATTTTCTCCTTCCCTTTAACACATTCTAAAATAGCCATTGGTGCTTGTATTTACCACTTTTGCAGTGTAGGCAGGGGAGGGGAAGGTGGAGGCGGGGGGGGGGGGGGGGGGGGGGGTTACAGAGGTCTTTGAGCCTGAGGACTTCTACTGCATAACCAGTGCTGTTGCCATGGACTTTACAAGTCAGGATGTTATTTTTGCCTCCAACAGGAAAAAAACGCTGTTGCTTTACAGAGGATTCAAACCTGCATCTCCTGCATGACATCCCACTGTTCTTATCTGTTTGGCCAGCCAATCATCTCCTTACAACAAATACAAAAAAAAATCACGCTGGCATCTGAAAACATCTCATGTTAATTCTTGCCAGTAAGAATCAAAAACATCAAGGAAAAGCCTGTTTGCTGCCACAGATTCTCATCTGCTTACCATCATCATCGTTTTGTGTCATTATGCTTCACATAGGGCTCACGGTCTTATTCTTTCCCTCCGCTCTAGCCTGTGCAGTTATCATCTGCTTATATCTTCATTCGTAATGCCCGGGGTGCTGGGTTCAATCCTAGCTGCGGACGAATTTTCCTGCAATAGCTTCCACGGTGGTACCAAGAGCTGACCATTCACCAAGCAATGGCAAACTACTTAGTGTAAAATCTGCCTAGAAAAACCACAACAGGCAAAGAATTCTGGGGGTTTTTTTTCCTGCAAAATCCTGCAAAGGATAAGCAACTATCTTTATACCTGTCAGTTTTTCTGATTTACTGGAACGGAATCTGACTCCACCAGTCTTCTTCTTCACAAGAGGTAAGAAAGCAAGAAGGAAGCCAAGACACAATATTCCTCTACTGTCTTTGACCCAATAGGAGCCCAGGTGGTGTAGCGGCTAGATGCTTTGCATATCAGCCCAAAGGTCTTGGATTCAAACCCGCGTCGAGTCTGATTTTTTATTTCAGAACTGACTTCGACTCTCAGGTTGAAAAAGACTTAAATGGGTACCAGGAAAAGTTCTGGGAAGCAATGGCAACCAGCATGATGTCAATGACATCTTCACTGAGGGCCGCCTGGTCGAAAAAAATATGAGTGGCAAGATATGCCTGATGCCCCAATGGAATAAGAAAGGTTCTTTACCGACTGAATCGAACTCGATGATGCTAGTGAGATGAACAGTTATTGAAAAGTTCTTCTCCTGTCCGAGTTCCTGGGGCCCTAAATTTGTGATATGTTTTTGCAGGAGGCAAGGAATAAGATATTCAGAAAAAGAAAAAAAAAGTAGAAATAAACAGACAGATAGACAGGAAATGATTTGATATGTGATTTTATAGAAGGATGCAAGGAGATATTCAGAAGAAAAAAAAGTAAATAGATATACAGACAGGCAGAGACAGATAGATAGATAGATAGATAGATAGATAGATAGATAGATAGATAGATAGACGGACAGACAGACAGACAGACAGACAGACAGACAGACAGACAGACAGACAGATAGATAGATAGATAGATAGATAGATAGATAGATAGATAGATAGATAGATAGATAGATAGATAGATAGATAGACAGATAGATATATAGATATATAGATAGACAGACAGACAGATTAGATAGATAAGCAGACTGACAGACATACGGACATTAGGATGGATAGATTAAACATACTTAAAGACAGACACATCATCATGTAGCCTGACAGATATTTAAAAAAAAGTAACAAATCAACATGTAGTAACGTGATCAGTATAAAACCACTCCAATACATATGGTGGCAATATACAGAGAGACCGATCAAGGTACGCTGATGTGCTGTGCATAGAATGAGTGCAGACAGCACACACAGAAGAGATCTTACCAGCCTGGGGTAGCGAGCGGGAGAAAGGAACCAGAGACTGTATCTGTGTCTCCGGCAACAAACATGCTTCTGGATGCCTCCGCTGGTAAGTTGGGTCTAGGGCGGCAACAATGTTAAACTCAGCCAAACCACCTGGGACAGGGTGTTGTTGTGGGCTGGCAGCAGGTGTGGGCGGGGGAGGGAAAGAAGCTTGGTTAATAGTGTTAGAGGGTGGGGGAGGATGCATGCAAGCATGAATTCACAGGTAGATTAGTTACAGGTATGACAGCAAATTAAAGGTGTTCCTATGGATATATTTATGTGATGATATAAAGGTGTTCCTATGAATATATTTATGTGATTAAAATTAATGGTGTTCCTATAATATAGTTATGTGATCAAATTAATGGTGTTCCTATGGATACAGTTATGTGATCAAATTAATGGTGTTCCTATAATATAGTTATGTGATCAAATTAATGGTGTTCCTATGGATACAGTTATGTGATCAAATTAATGGTGTTCCTATAATATAGTTATGTGATCAAATTAATGGTGTTCCTATGGATACAGTTATGTGATCAAATTAATGGTGTTCCTATGGATACAGTTATGTGATCAAATTAATGGTGTTCCTATAATATAGTTATGTGATCAAATTAATGGTGTTCCTATGGATACAGTTATGTGATCAAATTAATGGTGTTCCTATGGATACAGTTATGTGATCAAATTAATGGTGTTCCTACGGATACAGTTATGTGATCAAATTAATGGTGTTCCTATGGATACAGTTATGCGATCAAATTAATGGTGTTCCTATGGATATAGTTATGTGATCACATTTAGTGTTCCTATGATATTGTTTTGTGATCACATTTAGTGTTCCTATGATATTGTTTTGTGATCACATTTAGTGTTCCTATGATATTGTTTTGTGATCACATTTAGTGTTCCTATGATATAGTTATGTGATCACATTTAGTGTTCATATGATATTGTTTTGTGATCCAATTTACGGTGTTCCTATGTTGCAAGTGTAGTATTACACCAACAGTGTTATTACAATTGAAGGCGTATATCGCAGTAATGGTATTACTAAGTTGCAAGTGATGAAATCATTGGTGTTATCGTGTTACACACAAGATGAAATCAATGGTGTTATCATTTTACACAGAGAAGATTCATGCATGATGTTACTGTTATAAATCAAAGATTTTATTCCTGCTGTTTCTGTATCACAGGGGATAGGTCAAATGCATAATATAAATTAGTTAAATGTGAAAGATCAAGTTGAAAAGGTTAACATCTTACTCGGTGTCCAAAAAGTCACTATGTAGCCATTTCTTTAAATAAACTATTGGCCTCATCATGAAAATTTGTTTATTTCATCATTTTAAATAAGTGTTCCGAGATATAGTGTAACAGAAATTCCAAATATCATTGATAACTGAGAGGGCAGTCATTTTATCACAATGTTTAGAGATATAGTGTAACAGAAATTCCAAATATCATTGATAACTGAGAGGGCAGTCATTTTATCACAATGTTTAGAGATATAGTGTAACAGAAATTCCAAATATCATTGATAACTGAGAGGGCAGTCATTTTATCACAATGTTTAGGGAAACCACCATGGTGTAGTGACTACACGATCTGAAGGTCTTAACTTCAAGTCCTTATAGAGCCGGAGTTTTGTCAAAAATGACTCTGGGTCCAAGGTCAACCCAGCCTTTAATGGGTACCGGGTACAGTCCTGGGAAGTAAAGGTGGCTGGCGTGATGTTGCCCACACAACATAAATTGGTCTAAAAAATATAGGCCTAGTTCTATATGCCTGAAGGTGTGGAAAGGGTCCTTTACAATGTTGTAGGAAGAAAAGAAGATTCATGTTATGACAATGTTATAGGAAGAAAAGGAGATTCATGTTATGACAATGTTATAGGAAGAAAAGGAGATTCATGTTATGACAATGTTATAGGAAGAAAAGGAGATTCATGTTATGACAATGTTATAGGAAGAAAAGGAGATTCATGTTATGACAATGTTATAGGAAGAAAAGGAGATTCATGTTATGACAATGTTATAGGAAGAAAAGGAGATTCATGTTATGACAATGTTATAGGAAGAAAAGGAGATTCATGTTATGACAATGTTATAGGCAGAAAGGGAAATTCATGTTATGACAATGTTATAGGCAGAAAAGGAAATTCATGTTATGACAATGTTATAGGCAGAAAGGGAAATTCATGTTATGACAATGTTATAGACAGAAAAGGAAATTCATGTTACTACAATGCTGTAGGCAGAAAAGCAAATTTATGTTATGAAAATGTTATAGACAGAAAAGGGAAATCATTTTATTACAATGTTATAGGCAGAAAAGGAAATTTATGTTGCTACAATGTTATAGACACAAAAGGAAATTTATGTTTTGACACTGTTATAGATGGAAATTGAAATTTATGTTATTACAATGTTGTTGGCAGGAAAGGGTTATTCACTCTACTAAAATGTTGTAGGCAAAAAAAGAAATTAATGTAACTAGAATGTTGTAGGCAGAAAAGAAATTTCACATTATTATAATGTTATAGGCAGAAATGAATATTCCTTTTCTTGTAGACAGAAGAGATACTGCTGTTACTTTCTTGTAGGCAGATACAGCCGTTACCTTCTTGTAGGCAGATACAGCCGTTACCTTTTTGTAGGCAGATACAGCCGTTACTTTCTTGTAGACAGAAGAGATACAGCTATTACTTTCTTATAGGCAGATACAGCCGTTACCTTCTTGTAGGCAGATACAGCCGTTACATTCTTGTAGGCAGATACAGCCGTTACATTCTTGTAGGCAGATACAGCCGTTACTTTCTTGTAGGCAGAAGAGATACAGCTGTTACCTTCTTGTAGGCAGAAGAGATACAGCTGTTACCTTCTTGTAGACAGAAGAGATACAGCCGTTACATTTTTGTAGGCAGATACAGCCGTTACTTTCTTGTAGGCAGAAGAGATACAGCTGTTACCTTCTTGTAGGCAGAAGAGATACAGCCGTTACCTTCTTGTAGGCAGATACAGTCGTTACCTTCTTGTAGGCAGATACAGCCGTTATCTTCTTGTAGGCAGAAGAGATACAGCCGTTACTTTCTTTTAGACAGAAGAGAGACAGCATTACTTTCTTGCAGGCAGAAGAGATACACTTTCTTGGGACTGAATAATGTCAATTAGGTTGGAGGGAAGGAGAGACAGAGGCAGACCTAGAGAGATGGTGGACAGCTTGACACTGCAGCAGGGAGAAGCACCTGTATCAGAAATGATTAGCAGCAGGTGATAGCAGGCTGTGGACAAACATGACGACCATATTTACCAAGGATTGGCAAGGACAAAACATGAGGGTACTTTGAGTTTAATTCACCCAAAACAGAAGGAAACCCGGGGGTTCCTGGGAAAGTACAACATTCTAGGGGTGTTCAAGTTAGCTGGTGTCTCTGCGGCGGTCAGGGCTGACAAAGATCAATTTCATTTTCCTGCCAGGGCACGCAGGCACTCTCTTGTTATTGTCCCACCAAATGAGAGCTTGTTTTCATTTAAAACCATCACACCCCTAGAATTTTGGACTCCCCCCTCCCCCCCGGATTTCCTTTGTTTGGAGTGAATTAAAAATGAAGAACCTACACAAGAGTTGCTGTAGTTATTTTCTTAACTTACCCAACATCGTCCTTGCTGAAAGAATCCACATGCGGTTGCTGCTGATGATACTGATGAATCTGGTGAAGGCGAGACAACCTAGACATACTCCCGCTGCTGCTGCCACTCTCATCCGTCAGGCAGCCATGGACATCAGCAACCTGCATCTGTCGAAGCTCGCTGCCCAGAAGAACACCATGTGGTTTATATGGCTGTGAATACACTGGTGCATCACCCCGTACATCTGTGACTTGCCTGTAAGGATCTGACCCTCTTCTGGCAGACATGTGCACAGGAATCCGCTCTATATCTAACATTTCTTGTGATCTCATAAAACGGTCTTGCTCCATCCCCCTTCTTCTATCACCGGTATTCCTCTGTGAGTTTTGTATAGCTAAAATCCCCTCTGGGTTTCCAGCGGCGATCTGTCTTGCAGTTTCCAAAGTTGACAATCCTCGCCTGGAACTAGAAAGAGCAGGTCCAGGACTTGAGGTAGACGATGACGTAGATGGCTGTTTGTCATGAAGGCTTCTGCTGTAATACTGATTCTTGTGATCAGCGCCAACAGCAGCAGTGACACTTTCATGGGATGGGATTCTCGCCTGTTCGTGATCTTCCCCAACTAGAGGTGATGCTCTGTGCCTGCGGGCTGGTGAATGAGCAGGTGAAGGTGGAGAGTCACAAGCCTTGGTGTAGCTGTTGCTCCGGTACCGATGGTGACCACTGCTGATCGCTGGCACAGCTGCAGCGGGGGTCTCAGGTGGACATTCTTGGGTCTGCTTCTGCTGAATCAAAGAGTTGGCTGATGCTCCGAGTGGCATAGACTCCACTGACATCAGTCTCTGTGGAATAGAAGGATGCATTATTCGAAGCTGTTAATGTTTAAGACACACAAAAATGCAGTAATGAAAGCAGTCAGCTCTAAACTTGTAATATTAATAGAATATCTGAATAAACAGCATTGGGTCAAAGCTTCTATTTTTGCCTCCATGAGTCATACAGACACCACTTTTTCAATCTTTTGCAGGCTCTTTGCTATACTCTTCTGTCCAATTATTTACAATGAGATCTTGGACAAAACTGCATGCTATGTGTATAATTTTTATTTTTTAAAAACATTTATACAGTAATTAATAAACACATGAAAAGCATAATATAAATTATTTAATTTTAAATTACTACGTGTTTATAAATGATTTCTTATTACTCTTTGTTCGCCAGTGGTAAGCTCCGGCAGAAAGTCCTGATTCCTCGCCCATCTGGACTTGGGCTTTGTTTCAGGGCGTGTGTTTTGTGTGCACAACCGTTTTACTGGCTTATTTGCATGCAGCTGGTTGTTCCTTGCTACTCCGACAGATGCACTCTGACCTTGAAGGAAGTCCCCAACTAGTCACTTCCACAACATGCTTCTTGTGTAGGCGGTGGGTCTGTTATTGTTTTTCCCAATATGGGGCCCCGGAACCCACACAGGGGAATAATTGATTTTATTTATAACAATTTTTTACAATATCTCTGAAACACAGTGAACAGGAAATAGAAGAAGACTAAAATAGGAGGAAAGGGGAATTAGATATAGATGAATAATATTGAGAGGGTATGGAGAAAGCTGCAAAAGGTGGCAACAGATCAAAGGGGCCAAGGTGAGGTGGTAGAGGGCCTTTGCTCTCTTGAGGGAACGGATGAACTAACTTTATTTTCAAAGAATTGGGCACACAAGCCTTACATTCTGGCCTCACTCCATGACTACATTACTCCATTCATTTATCATTTTAGCAGATAATAATATTCATCATCAAATAAACATCAATAACATTTTAGTCACAACCACTAGGCCTCTGTGTGGGTTCCGGGGCCCTATTATAGGGAAAACAAGAATAGACCCACTGCCGACCCAAAAGCATGACGTAAGAGTCGACTAATCGGGAGCTTCGTAGAGTACATCTGCCTGAGAGGCAAGGAACCAACAGCCTGCATACAAATGTGTCAGATCTGTCAAATTGATGCACACACAACACTTAGGTTCTGGAACAGGACTGCAGTCCAGAAGTGGACGAACAACCACAACATTCCACCAGAGTTTACAGCTGTTGAACGCAAAGAAGAAGAAGACAACCGCTGGAATGTGCTCTAAACATATCTAGATTTTTAAATAATAATAATAATAATACTGTACCTCTAGGGAAAATCAACAATATACTTAGGGATAAAAGGTTAGCTGATTGCTGAAGGACCTATGCTCCCCTGAAGGACAACAAGTTAGCCTGATGGAACTGGAGAACCTATATTCCACTCAGGGATAAAAAAGTTTGCCTGGTACTATAAGGATCATGCATTCAGTTTTGGACTCGTCCGATTCTTCAGTTTGTAAATGCAGGTGTTCTGAGAGCCCTAAGGGTCACTGCTGGAGATATAGAGTGCTGTGCTTTGTGCAATGCATTTAACAGGCGATCACCTGATTGATCAGTCTAGGAAAGTCAAGTCAGATAAGATTGAACCTTGTACAGCGAAGCTGATCCTCAAGCCTTTGAAGATTCTTTCATCTGTGTCTTCTTCTGTGCGACTGGTTTCAAATGCTCACTTTTATTGCCTCGATGAACTGTCACAGCAGCAGCAAGTTTCCAAGCATTCCGTGAGGGTTGCCTAATTACCTCTTCCGCTCGGCCATGTGTTTTCTCGCAGGTCTCAATGTAGAGGACAGTTCTGCAGGAATTTGCTCGGGTGTATCTATACTTTTATATGAATCTATAATACAGTTATAATCTTTCAGAGAGTCTGAACTGATATACCATATTTTTTCGTGTCTGAGACGTCCCCTTGCATAAGACATCTTCATGTATCTTCTCTTCTTCTTTGCGTTTGGTTTCGTTTGCTCAGATCAGACCATCAGGTGGGTTGCCTCTATGAACATGCATGTCAGCTGCAGGTCCTGCATGGTTCCCCATAGCTTGCTCTGCACACTCTGCTCTTGAGGCCAGGTGTCTTTTTGAAGTTGCAGGTAGAGTGGGCAGATCTGTGGAATATGCTGAGGTGTTTGGGGTCCTGTTTGACAGGCACACTGTGGGGACTGTATGATCTTTATTTTATGCATGTGGTAGTTAAGCCTGCAGTGTCCTGTTCGTAGATGGAAAATTGTTGTATGTTGCTTTCTGTTGAGTCTGCTGATGGGGTCTTGTTGATGTTTACTATTAGTTTGTTCTCTCCACAATCCCTTGTATTTTCCTTTGATAAGTGTTCTGATTTCTGGTAATGACAATGAATGGGCGTGTTGTTTCTCCTTTGTTCCATTTTTTGCAAGTCTGTTTGCTAACTCATTTCGTGGTATGCCGCAGTGAGCCGGGATCCACTGGAGAACAATTTGATTGTTTTCTGCGAGTCTGTTTAGCTGACGGGTCAATTATCTTTCCACATTGTCTCGTGGATACCTATGAGTCGCCTGGAGGACTGACATGCAGTCACAAAGGAAAACAATTTTGCTGTTTTTAATTTTTCTTTCCTCGAGCACTTAGGCTGAATCAATAATTGCTTGCTGCTCTGCTCTGAAGTTTGTTAAGAGTCTTCCGGAGGGGCATGACGTTTCTACTGTGGTCCCATCTTGCAGCATGATGACCGATCCAGCTCCTTCATTTTTGTCTGCTCCCTCCAATGATCCATCGGTGTAAACGTGTGTCCATTCGGATTTTGGATAACAGCTGTAGACATGTTCAAGGGTCTTTGCACACAGTACTAGGTCACACTCTTCAGCCTTTCTGTCTATGCCTAGAATTGTTGTTGTGACTGTATATTTAGGCTGTAGGTCTATGCTGTATGCCTGGATCATTTCCCATGTTGAAGGATCTTTAGAAAGGATGTCACTGTTTTTTTGTGTAGTATAATTTTGATAGATGGTGAAAGCTTTGTCTTTTCAATCTTTATGTATAAGATGCCTCAATGTATAAAACTATCCCCTATATTTTAAACTTAAATTAACACAAAATATTTCAAACACATTCTGTATATAAAAAAATACCCAATTTTAAACTGAAAAAATGTGGGGAAAAATTGTGTCTTATACATGGAAAAATGTGGTAATTATGTGTATGAACTTGAAGGTTAAACTTACTCTGGCCTCCTTCCTTGCCTGGTGCTTCTGTTTGGCTTTTTTCAGCCGCAGCTGCTCCTCCTCCTGGATAATCCTTGCCAGCTGCTCGTCCTGGAGCTCAATCCTGCGAAGCTTGTCAGGATCAACATTGGCTTTTGTCCTCTATGGAAAGAAAATGAACATACATATGTCAGTCCAGGGCAGATAAATGGCTGAGAGCTTCAACTGGCCAGACAGACATGTGGATTTGTCTTGGAGAGACATCGATTAAGTGACTTTGTGTATTGTAGTTCGTAAATGTAACACTTTCTATTCATGTCATGTGCTGATGAAGGCTTTTTAGCAGCGATGTTCACTTGTCATTTGTGAAGCTGACTAGTTCTACTTTTCATTTGGTCTGAGATCTTGTCATCGTAATGATAAGATGAGACAAGCAAAGCAGATGTATGGATAAAAGGACATCTCAATAAATGAAAACAAGTGCTGTTTAGTTTGATTTCTTGTCATCATAAGGATAAGGAGAGACAAGCAAAGCAGACGTGTGGATAAAAGGCCAATATCTCAATAAATGAAAACTATTGTTGAATGGTTTAATATCTTATCTATCTTTTCAGGGCAGATGGATGATGTCTTATAGTAGATTTTAATGTCTTTAATCTCACAATGTGGGGGTCGCCACAACATGAGGAACTGTATTAAAGGGACGTGGCATTAGGATGGTTGCGAGCCACTGCACTAGAAGCTTGTTGAAACTGAATATGTTTGGTAGAAAAGTGCGGATATCGCAGCCTAGCTGTACCATCCTGTTCAGACTATTCGCCACTGTAGCGGCGCTGCACAGAGACACTCTAATATTATTTCATTTACTGGAAAAACAAATTTGAATGAAGATGTTTTGAAAAACTAGAATTAGCGAAACAAAGTCCTTTTGTTTTTGAAGTTCATGATAGTGTTTGTGTCACTTTATGATTTTAAAAAAAATAATTAGATGTGATACAATATTTCTGTGGTTTTTCCAGACCAAATGATCAGGGAAAAAGGTTTAGAACTGTGCATACTAGTCTGTTGTTGATAAATCTAGGCCAGATAGTGACAATAGTCTTGATATTATGATTGATAATGCATGTGTCAAAACTGCTGACTATTGCCGATAATTTAGGTTAGGATGAAGATTGAAAAAATATTTCAGTCGTATCATCTCTGTTTTGATCAGCCGTTTTCCCGATTTCGGTTGTTATGAAATCTGACATGTCATACAAAAATGGTCATAACAACCAAAATATTTAAATTAAATGTTTCAAATAAAGACTAGCTGATACATAACTGAACAGAGAAGGCATGCGAATTCTTAAAAACGGATAGCAGTGTTGCTGAACAAGTAGAAAGTAAGGTAAGCACAACATTTTTTTGGGTGTAAATAATCTTCATATGTGTCTAACATCCGTGAATGATGTGTGATTTTAATATTTTGTTGTAATACTGACAATTATATAGTTTAGATTGATTCTGAACTCATTTCTCTTTAATTTTATACATCATATGTCCCTATACAGCCAATATTTTTTTCTTCAGGAAGGTTTTAGCTTTGTCATGTTGCAGTAAAAGAATTCAGCTCAAAATTAATTCTGTCCAAACTGAGAAAAAAAATGTCGTCCTGAAAGAGTTAATGAGATCTGTTAGATAAGGGTGAGGAGAATGGGGAGGAGAAGGAGGAGAAAAAGAAGAAAACAACAATAACAACTGCCTGTACAAGTCCTTCTAGCACTAACCTTATGCTCCTGTTCTTGAAGCAACCTGGCCAATTCCTGATTGGAAGATGAAAGAAGCTGGTTACGCAGGGCAACATTAGCCAAACAGGCAATATTACCTGTACATATCTCAATGTACCTGCTGTGATATTTGGACATTGGTCAATGGACTTGCGGGCATTTCATAAAGGAGGCACATCTTGGAGACCGGTCAGCTCTGGTAATCTTGGCTTTCAATGTGTCCCTCTCTGATGTTTCTCCATCTGGTACTGATAGATATGACTGTGTGTTTAAATGACTCCAAGAAATATGCTGACTATAGCTCAGCCACTGGTAGGGTCATCCATGTGTGTAGGGTCATCCATGTTGGACAGGTCAAGGAAAAGGTATTGGGGACAGCTAAAAGCCAACCCTGATTTCCTGTGGGCAGATTGAAGGCAGGTAAAAGCTAGAGAAAGCCAACCTGAAAAACTGCTTATATGTCCGTGCAGGGTGGCAAGTATTGCTTCACAAAGTACTGGGTACTTAAATTTAGGACCGCGTTAGCAGTCGATAGGAGTCTCGCTTTCAAATCCAGCCCACGCCAGTGTTCAAAACCGAGCGGTTCCCGGGGTTCACCCAGCCTCTAGGTAATAGGTACCAGAGTTAAAACTCTGGGGTAGATGGAGGAATGTAGCTGTAGCTACAGAGTTGTGACACAGGCGGACAGTTTCTTATCAGTTTTCCCTATTGGTGGCAGCGCACTTATGGTTTATAACCGTGCGCAATGAGGCTGGTTCACATCTCCCAACTTTACCTTTTACCTTTTTGGGTACTCAGCACCCTTTGGATATTTTCTCCTGGGTATGAAGGTGTGCTGAAAAATTAACATACGCACTTATTAGTTCTCCACTCATCATCATCATGTGCCAGTAAGCATAGGCTGTCAAGTGTTGCCATTTCCCACAACTATCAGAATCATGGATCAGATCAATGTTCTTGTCTCACCCCCTTCTATGTGGCCAGGTCATTCAGGTATTTACCTCTTTGCCTTCCCCTTGCTCTCTTTCCATCAATCTTGCTAGTTACCAAGTTCTTCAGTCTATTTCTCAGAAGATGCCCAAAACATACTGACTGTTTATGTCTAATTGTTCTGAAATGTTTATGACTTTCATCTGTCCCAATGAGGACAGTTTTGTTTGTTTTTCCACCCTCCATGATAATCTTTGTATTCATCTTACAAACCACATCTCTGCTAGAAGTAAATGTTCTTCAGCTTGCCTTCTCTTTGTTCATGTCTCACATGCATACAATAATACACCTTAACATGCTTTCTCTCACTGCTAGTGACATATTCTTATTGGCAGAAATATTCGGCATCTTGCCAAAGGCCACTTTTACCATGGCGTTTTTTGTTTTTATTTCTGCAGGGCATCTTGCCTCAGGTGTTACAACAGTTCCAAGATGTCTATTCATTTGCTTAAGAATTTTGCTGTCTGCATGTATTTCATTCAAACTTTGGTATGCTTTTCTTTTTGGTAAGGACCATCAGGTATGCCTTTCTTTTTGGTAAGGACCATAAGGTATGCCTTTCTTTTTGGTAAGGACCATAAGGTATGCCTTTCTTTTTGGTAAGGACCATCAGGTATGCCTTTCTTTTTGGTAAGGACCATCAGGTATGCCTTTCTTTTTGGTAAGGAGATTCAGGTATGCCTTTCTTTTTAAGGACCATCATTTTCATTTTCAATATAACTCTAAGCCTAACTTCTCAATATGAACTATTACTGCATCCACTAGAGACTACCGTGGGCTGCATGGTATCCACCTTGAGTGCTAGAGGTTCCGGGTTCAATTCCCAGTAAGGGCTTGGATTTTGTTCATGTGGACTTGGACTTATAGGAATCCCCCCCCCGTCTCTGGGTAGTGAGAGCAGACGCCGGTGTGCACTGTTGCGCACGTCCAAAAAATCCCTTAGCAGTTGGAAATCAAAAAGAGTAGCCTAACAGCGCTGCCCGGGCCAAATTTGGTGTTAAAAATCTACCCAAAGTATTTCAGGATCCTCGCAGGTGCTACAGAGCCTGTGCCCTGTGCTGAGCTTCTTCGGACTCAGACTTGAGTTAGAAGAAGAACGGAGCACTTATGGGTTACTACCCCTGTGCCATAGTGTTGATCCGTTGTTAAAAACCTCAAAAGAGACTGCAGATTGTTTTCACTGTCTGCAACTAACACCAGATTGTTTTCACTGTTTGCAACTAACACCAGATTGTTTTCACTGTCTGCAACTAACACCAGATTGTTTTCACTGTCTGCAACTAACACCGTAACACAGATTGTTTTCACTGTCTGCAACTAACACCGTTATCACCTGCATATCTTCTGCACTACTTAGTGGTAAAATGACGTACAACATGCTGGATATTGTCAAGGCCCTTTGAGATCGAGTGAAAACTGCAGCACGCATAGAGATCATTATGGTCTGAAGAAAAATGGTGCAACAGGGAGTAACTAGAGGATCTGGCTGATGCTCAACCTCAGGTGCACGGCAAGACGGACATACTAGTAATGTTACCACTGGACTGGAACTCTGTCCTGGCTGTTTAATAGGTGGATGGAGCACTTATGGGAATTCCCCCCAGGGGCTGCAATGTCAGTTCTAAACTAAGCTCAAAACACAGAATACATACTTCATCCTGGGATGCTTGTATTTCCAGACGAGTCATCTCATCCATTTCATCAGGGAGTTTGTAGAAATCGCTGAAGTCTCCATTATCCTCTATCCGACCAGCGGGGGTGATCCTGTGGGAATACACCATGACCTGAAGTGACCCACACGTCTCACACCCTCGATTCTTAAATCCCTACTTGGGTCTTGACCAACACATGTCAAACCATCACAGCTCTTGACCAACACATGTCAAACCATCACAGCTCTTGACCAACACATGTCAAACCATCACAGCTCTTGACCAACACATGTCAAACCATCACATCTCTTGACCAACACATGTCAAACCATCACAGCTCTTGACCACCACACGTCAAACCACTACATCTCTTGACCAACACATGTCAAACCATCACATCTCTTGACCAACACATGTCAAACCATCACAGCTCTTGACCAACACATGTCAAACCATCACAGCTTTTGACCAACACATGTCAAACCATCACATCTCTTGACCAACACATGTCAAACCACCACATCTCTTGACCAACACATGTCAAACCATCACAGCTCTTGACCAACACATGTCAAACCATCACATCTCTTGACCAACACATGTCAAACCACCACATCTCTTGACCAACACATGTCAAACCATCACAGCTCTTGACCAACACATGTCAAACCATCACATCTCTTGACCAACACATGTCAAACCATCACATCTCTTGACCAACACATGTCAAACCATCACATCTCTTGACCAACACATGTCAAACCATCACATCTCTTGACCAACACACGTCAAACCATCACATCTCTTGACCAACACATGTCAAACCATCACATCTCTTGACCAACACACGTCAAACCATCACAGCTCTTGACCAACACATGTCAAACCATCACATCTCTTGACCAACACATGTCAAACCATCACATCTCTTGACCAACACATGTCAAACCATCACATCTCTTGACCAACACATGTCAAACCATCACATCTCTTGACCAACACATGTCAAACCATCACATCTCTTGACCAACACACGTCAAACCATCACATCTCTTGACCAACACATGTCAAACCATCACATCTCTTGACCAACACACGTCAAACCATCACAGCTCTTGACCAACACATGTCAAACCATCACATCTCTTGACCAACACATGTCAAACCATCACATCTCTTGACCAACACATGTCAAACCATCACATCTCTTGACCAACACATGTCAAACCATCACAGCTCTTGACCAACACATGTCAAACCATCACAGCTCTTGACCAACACACGTCAAACCATCACATCTCTTGACCAACACATGTCAAACCATCACAGCTCTTGACCAACACATGTCAAACCATCACATCTCTTGACCAACACATGTCAAACCATCACATCTCCTGCAGTTTCTTGAGTGGGTTCTGGGGTGCAGTTTTTGAGGGGAAAAAGGAATACACCCACTGCCACCCCTCTCCCCTCTAATAAGCATATCGTAAAAGGTGACCAATGAGGAGTGTTTTCTATGAAGTTTGAGTGAGTCTGCTTGAGAAGTGAGGAACCAACAGTCTGCATACAGGTAAGCCAGATATGAAAATGGATGTGCATGCAAAACTCAAGCTCTGGAACAAGATCAAAGCCCAGAAGTGGATGAACAACCAGAACTTTCTGCCAGAGTTTACAGCCGGTAAACACTAAGAAGTTCTGAAATAAGACTAAAGGCCAGAAGTGGATGAACAATCTGAACTTTTCGTAACAGTTGACAGCAGGTAAACTCTAAGAAAAAAAAAAGATCTCCTACTGTTTTTTTTTTCTTCCTTTCTAACTCCCAATGGAGCATAGGCCCTCAACCAAGTCCTTTTATCCTTCGCTATCGCATGCAGCTCTCTCTATGTCCTCCCTAAATTTTTAATTTCACTCTCTAGCTCCCTTCTCCATGTGTTTTTTAGTCTTTTTTATTTCTATGCCCCTGTGGGTTCTAGTATAAAGACATTCTAGTTATACTGTTCTCCGGTTTTCTCAACATGTGTCCTATCCAACGCCAGCGTCTTTCTTCACCTCTTGTTCCACTGGAACTTGTTTTGTTTTCTCCCAAAACTCTACATTATTGATTCTATCATACCATTTAATTTCCTCGGTTCTGCGCAGGCACCAGTTAGCAAATGTTTGTAGTTTATTGTGATTGCCTTAGTTGTTCTCTGTGTTTCTGCTCCACAAAAAAGTACTGATTTGACACAAGAATTACAATTTTTTAGTTTAGAATTATTTCTGTTGACTTCCAAAAATTTCCTAGTGCTATAAAAGCTCCTCTTGCCTTCTTACTCGTATTTTAATATCTCTATCATTTCCTCCATCTTCATCTAAATTACTGCCCTAATAGGCGTATGACCCCACATCTTGGAGTGCGATACCATTAAGAGAAACCACATTACTATTTGCTAATTATTCTTATTATCATTGTTTTTATCTAATAAATTTTCAGACCTAGCTGTTGTGATATAGAATCAAGTATATTTAATTTGTCTGCATCTGATTCCGTAAGTGGGACAGAAGATAAATATTATCAGCAAAGTCCGGATCGTCAAGCTGTTTTGTAGGGTCCACTGAATTCCATTCTTGGTGTTAGCAGCTGCTGTCTTCATAATACAATCTATTGCCAGTAAAAATAGTAGAGGTAACAAAAGATATTTATGTAGCAAACCTGTTTTTATTTCAAATGTATCTGTTGGCATTCCTCATGAAAAACTCAAAATTTAATGTCTTTATATGTCACCTTTAATAAGTTGTTAATTTTTCCGACCGATTCCATAGTGCCCAAGTAATTTCCAGAAAAATTAATGTTACTTCTGTGTCATTGTCTTTGATTTCTACACACCAAGATCTTTTAGGTATACCTTACATAATTGTTCTGCACTGCGAGTTCCAGTAATAATTATACTATTATCAGGTTTTCTCACTGTGTGTCCTATTCAACACCTGCATCTTTCCTTCCTCTTGACTCACTGGAATTTGTTTGTTTCTCTCGGTCACATTTGACGAAAAAAAAACCGGCAGAATAATTAAGAAAGCTGGTTTCTCACGCAGGCGTGCCAGGTTCAAATCCTTGGGAGGTTGTGGTTTGTTCTTCTGCCGGGTGCACAATGATAAAACCCTATAGAGACTGCAGTGGCCATGCTGCTCTAAGTCTTAATGCCCAAAAACACCCCACCTGCCTACATGACACAAAATGGTAAAAAACAGGCAGTAAAGGCCATCACGTTTGTTATAGCATTTGACTTCCTTTATCAAACATAGGCATCAGTCTATACATGAATGTAGCTGTGTAAAACAGGGGCTTTTGGTCATACTTTGAAGTCGAAAGTATATCTGCCTGACAGGCAAGGAACCACAAGTATGCTAACAAATAAGCCAGATCTGTGAAAAGGATGTGCACGCAACACTCAGGTTCTGGAGGAAGACTAAAGTCTGAACGTTGATGAACACCCAGAACTTTCCACCGAAGTTTACAGACAGTGAAAGCGAAGAACAAGAATAACTAAAATGCTACAGAAAAATCCTAAAAATACCAAGGGCCAAACAGAAAAGAAAAACTGACATCCTAAAAGATGTGAACATCTAGTAAACAGGAATCTTGTCTCTAAAACTGAAATAGTGTGGTCTTATCAAGCGTCAGGGTGGATTGGAAAGAAGAGTCGCAGAAGGCATGGTGGCAGGAAAGAGGGGCAGGGGCTGACCAGCATGAAGATGGGGGACAAGATATAAGTGATACCTTTGGGTGCTTGAGTTGGGAGAGCTGGTGAGAGACCAAGTTTCTTTCAGGCAGGCTGTGACGACGGCCATGTTCTTCCAAGGACCTCCTACACGATGATGAGTCTACGTGTGTAGGGAAAGGAGGCCAGATACCTGTCTTTGATTCTAAACTATGCCAGATAATCATGAATCAGAGACATCAAATAACAGCTGACATGCCAATTTGAAGGTGATAGGTTACCTGGTAACTCCGACTCCATGCAGTTTGAGTGACTCCATGCTGGCTGAAATATGATCACTGCCATTCTCTGGAAGACAAGCAAAACAGGCACATGATAAGAGGCCAAGCAGACATGCAGACCTGTCTTGGGGAAACTTCAGCCAAATGATTCAGTGTATTCTTGTTTGTAACCGCAGTGTCCGGTGCTTAGGCGTTGCGAGTTCGACTCATAATTCCAACGTACAGCGATCGAAACCCACTGATGGCTGTGTGGATTTTTATCATGATTGAGAATGTTGCAGGTCGATCCAGCCTAAAACGGGTACCAGGATTGATGCCCCGGGGAAGTAAAGATGGCCGGCGTAATGCTGACGACATTACCCAACTAGTGCCGACTGATCTGTAAAAATATGGGGTGCTCTTCCCATATGCCCGATGCGCCTAAGGCGTGAAAAGGGATTTTTTTTTTTTTTAAAACTTTCTGTTTGTAACCATAACATTGCCTATTCCTGTCATGTGCTGATGAAGGTTTTCTAGCTGCAATGTTTACATGTCGTTTGTGACTGTGACAGTGTGAAGCTGACTAGTTCTAGTTTTCATTAGGTTTGATATTCTTTCATAATATGAATAAGAAGAGACAAGCAAAATTGACATGTGGTCAAGAGGACAACATATCCATCTCAACAAACGAAAAAATTTATATTTGTAGATGTCTAAGTAGTCGGGGGGGGGGGGGGGGGGGGGGTGTTTGATGGATATGTCTTCTTTCTTCTTCACTTTCACTGACTGTAAATTCTGGTGGAAATTTTGGGTTGTTCAGTCACTTCTGAACTTTAGTCTTGTTTCAGAACTTGAGTTTTGTGTGCACATGCGTTTTACAGATCTGGCATATTTGTATGCCGGCTTCTGGTTCCTCGCCTCTCAGGCAGATGCACTCCCAACTCTGAAGGAAACTCCTAATTAGCAGACTCTTATGACATGCTTGTTAGGAGGACAGTGGGTCAACTCTTTCCCATCCTTTGCTGTAGCAAAGACAGGTTTGAGATTAAACAATATAATCACAACAGGAAAGAATCTGATGTGACCAGAAGTGGACAGGTCGACTTAGGGAGGTTGGACAAGGACAGGGACAACTGGCCAACAGCAACTTCAGGAGATAAATGTATGGCACCAATTTTAGGAGACAGATGTATGGCAGCAACTTTAGGAGACAGATGTACAGTAGCAACTTTCAGAGACAAATGCAACGGCAACAATTTTAGGAGACATATGTATGGCAGCAACTTTAGGAGACAGATGTACAGTAGCAACTTTCAGAGACAGATGTACGGCAGCAACTTTAGGAGACAGATCTACGGCAGCAACTTAAGGAGACAGATGTATGGCAGTAACTTTAGGAGACAGATGTACGGCAGTAACTTTAGGAGACAGATGTACGGCAGCAACTTTAGGAGACAGATCTACGGCAGCAACTTTAGGAGCAGATGTACGGCAGCAACTTTAGGAGACAGATGCATAGCAGACTGGAGTGAGTGATTTCAAATAGGACAGGGCAGTTCTAGGAGAAATTCTGTGAGCAGTTGTGTTCAGAATTATGTAAGCTGCGCCTGCTGTAGTTAATCACGTTTGAGAAAGTGGCAGCGAGGGCAATAAAATCACAGAGATGGGTTTCATTCGATCATGTCTGGTAGTTGTGTTTAAAAAATTAAAAAAAACACAGACACAAAAATTCCTACAAATAGGATCTGAACCTAGACGACACTGATGGTAAGCAAGAGAACTAGCTACAACGCTTGTGTGATTTTGAGCAGCAATCATCAATAAGATAATCACAGAATCCATACGCCGTCATTTAGTGTCATATGTCAATATAAAAACTGTAGACAAATCTGTACCTGGATTGACGGTCAATCTAGCCTCTTCTATGTCTCTAGCAAGAGCTGCCTCTAGCATCTGTCTCTCCTTCTTCAATTTCTTCTCTTTCTTTCTCTCCAAATGCCTCTCATACTTCCTCCGTTCCTTCTCTTGCAGTTGTCGAGCCAGCTCCTGCAGAAATCACAGTTAGAGACTAGTTACAAAAAACAAAAAAAAAAGATTTACAATAATTCACATCATCGCAACAATAAACAATCTGACAATTTTTATATGATCACCAATGAATGCAAATAATTATTAACCCAGCAAAAAAATAAAAAAATAAAACTGCAAACTAATCTCATTATTATTATTACAATTATATCTCATAATTATTATCTCAACAACTTTATCATAATCATAACTCATAATTATTACCTAAACAACATTATCACAATCATGTCTCATAATTATTACCTAAACAACATTACTAAAATCATATCTCATAATTATTATCTCAACAACACTGTTAAATTAAAAAAAAAAAAAACTGCCAATAACTGCCTTTTTTTACCCCTTTTGCGGTTGCAGGCAGGAGGGGTCTTTGAGCCTGAGGATTTATGGCTGCATTTCTAGTGCTGGTGCCACGACTGGACAGGTGAAGATTTTATATTGCCCCGGACAGAAAAAATCCCCATCCTTATCGAGGATTTGAACCTGGGTTTCCCGCTTGAGAACCCAGCATTCTAACCGTTCGACCAGCAACACTATTAATATCATCTCAAAACTGTAAATTCAACAAAATTATTAAATTTATATCTCATAATCATTATCTCATTAACCACAAACATAATTAGCTCACCAACAAAAACATTTACAATTTCCACCCAAACAAACATATTATACTTCTCTCCCCCCCCCCCCAAATCAAGTAAAATTATCTCAGTGACGACAGACACACTGAACCATGACATCACCATCAAAGAGGCACACTTATTACCTCATCATCAAGGACTTCATGGTCTGTTCGGTTTCTGGTATCATCTGTATTATTTCTGACATCATGATCTGTCCAGCTTCGGGCATCATCTGCACAGTTTCTCACATCGTGGTCTGTCCGGTTTCTGACATCGTGGTCTGTCCGGTTTCTGACATTGTGATCTGTTTGGTTTATGACATTGTGGTCTGTCTGGTGTCTGACATCGTAGACGGCCCGGTTTTTGACATCCTGATCTGAACGGTTTCTGACATTGTGGTCGGCGCGGTTTTTGAAATTATGGTCTGCCTGGTTTCTGACATCATGGTCTGTTCGGTTTCTGACATCATGGTCTGTTCGGTTTCTGCCATCATCTATATGGTTTCTGAAATCATGGTCTGAGCGATTCCTGACATCATGAAATGTAGGATCTCTGAGATCCCGATGACTGCTATTTTTTATCTGACTGTCAACAACGTTTCTGACAACTTGTTCTTCACAGACTCCAGCTTCATGGTTCATGTGGTTTCTGACTTGATGATCTTGGATTTGATGTTCTCCATGCTTTTCAATACCATATTCTTTATAGGTTTTCATTCCATGATCTGTGTGGATTCTGATTTCATGATCTGTGCGGTTTCTTTCAAGATCTGTGTGGTTTATAACTCCAGGATGTGTATGGTTTATAACTCCAGGATGTGTATGGTTTAAAACTCCATGATCTGTGCTAGTTTCAAATTCATGATCTACATTGTTTCTAATTTCAGGCTCTGTGTGGTTTCTGACTCCATGAACACCACGGTGCCTGTTTTCGTGGTCTCTTCGGTTCTTATCCTCCCGTTTCGTATGTTTGCTAATTTTTTTCGCCAGTTTGGCATCCTCCTCAGCCCTAATCGACCAAACAAACAAAATAAGTAAATAAAAAAACAAAAGGTTTTTCAACATGGCAGTAAAGTTGTAAACAAAAGGATTTCTTTTTATTTCCTCCTAGCGTTCACTGGTTGTAAACTCTGGTGGAAAATTCTGGTTATTCATCTACTTCTGGACTCGAGTCTTGTTCCTGAATTTGAATTTTGCGTGGACATCCAATTTACAGATCTGGTCTATTTATATGCAGACTGTTGTTTCCTTGCCCCTCAGGTCGATGCACTCCAACTTCGTAGGAAACACCCATTTTACGACACAAGCCAGTCAACATCATAGCTTGAAAGTCTTTCTCGACTCCACTGTATTATAGCTAATGTTCTAGACTGCACTCTGCCGGGTCCACCATCATAATTATCATCATCCTAGTTTGTCCGTTGAGTTTCCAAGTCACCCAAGTTCTACATCAAGGTCTTTCTTGGTATGCCTCTTCCCCTCTGCCCAACCCTGTAGTACAATTCTGAAGAGGCCAGTAGACACATTTGAATATCTGGGAGCAACATTCACCGAAGATGGTAAACTGGATAGAGAGAATTATTCCCTGTGGGTTTGGGGGCTAGATTGTGTGTGTGTGTGTGTGTGTGTGTGGGGGGGGGGGGAATAGATCCACTGCCCTCTAACAAGCATGTTGTAAAAGCTGACCAATTAAGGTTTTTCCATTAAAGTCGTAGTGCATCTGCCTACAAATATGTTAGGAACCCTGAGTGCATATAAATAAGCCAGATCTGTAAAATGTATATGCATGCAAAATGCAAATTCTGGAAAAAGTCCAAAGTCCAGAAGTGGACAAACATCCAGAACTTTCCGTCGGCGTTAACAGCTCAGAAACACTAAGAAGAAGAAGGATGAAGAAATTAACATCCGATGCAGTAAAAGCAAACCAAGTATTCGGACAGGTAACCCTCTCTAACAGCATAAGACAATCTTAATAAGCACAAAGAAACTTCTCATACCAAACATATTAATTCCCACTCTATGCTACCAGTGCCAGATATGGTCACAACAAACAATAAAATAAAATTAGTAACCAGGGAAATGAGATGTCTGAGAAAGGCTGCAGGAGTGATCAGAAGAGATAAAATCAAGAATGAGATCATACAACAAACTAATCAACTATAAGAACAAAAGTGAAGAAGAAGATAACTATTCATGATAACAGGCCCAGGATTAGAGTGACCTCCCCTGCCATTCATAATTCCTGAGGTCATTGGACTCAGGGTGTTATGATATTGCTTGGTTTGGCGTTCGCTCGGCGTATGTAATGTTTGATGAAGGCTGTGTTGTTTTGAGTCCATTACAGGCACCTCTGTACAAGTAAGAAGTATTGCAGGATAAGCGCCTAAGGCGCGACGATTCTTGGCTATCAAAACCGAGATTTTTTTTTGCATTTCTATGTTTGTTGGTGGTGGCCCCCCCCCCCCCCCCCCCCCGAGACAGAAAGCAGTTACAAGGAGCGTAGGAATAGAACAATATCACTGTTTCTATATTCCCGAATTGTGTGGGCAGGTAACAGAGCGTGGAAATATTTACGCGAGTGAGCGGTGAAAAGACAAAAAAAGAGGCAACAGTTTAAGGGTTCACCCCACACACCCCTGCGACGTAGTGCAGGAACTACACCAGACTGAGTCATCAATAGGAAGCGAGGTCACTCTCATTTCTAGGCCGCTGATCGTGTATTGTACTGATATTATATATCTGAACTACTGTATTTTCTATCTTTTACTGCTGCTTTCCCCCATGGTGCTGACTGTAACTGTATCTGTGAGGACAAAGGCTAACCAAGGAAATGGTCACCTGACAGGTTTTGGGCACTACTGAGACTCAACATGTTGACTGACTACGGTTCAACCCCACCAGGACATCACCCCGAGCAATTAAAACCAGGTGACACAAAGTGCCACCATTTAGATGAGGATCACCCAGCAACAGGTCTCAGAAATCCTGTTCAACCCATAGGTTGGGTTATATTATTATTTAAAAGAACCAACAAATTGCATCCGAGAAGGGACATAATACTGTGCAACCTGACTGACAGATTGGATAAAAATGTGTTGTATGTACTCAGTATTTCTTGTATTTGATGTATTTATTTACAGTAATGTGTGTGCTTACTATGATTAATGGCATGTGTAACTACTGATCTGTTGTAACTGTTGGCTCTGCTGCTTCCATTGATAATCTTTTTATTCTTCTGCATTTATCCAAAGATGTTTGCATAATTGTGTTGTGCCTATTTACAGCAAGGCTGCGATATTTGTGCCTTTCAGCCGCCACGTCCGACTTCTACAGGCATTTGTTGATCGGGTTAGCCTTTCATCGAGGATGAACTGCATTTCTTGTGTTGGACTGTTTGTGTTGACACTTCTGATGGTTGTCTAATACATTTAATACATATGTATGCTATTGGATTTGGACAGACTGCAGTCTGTCTGTGCAGTCCATTTTTCCACAAGGGATATAGTGATGGATATTATGTGCAGTTTTTGCTGGCACAGGGATACAGCAGCTATGGGGTGACCCCTTTACCATGAAGCTGGAATTGCAAATACCTGATTACTATGTTGTATGAATTTACTGTATGTAGTAGCCGTATTTCATCTGTTTACTGTATTTTGTGTATAGATTTTCAGTATTTCATGGGCTTATTATATTTGGTGTATCTATTTATGGTATTACATGTGCTTATTGTATTTGTTGGGTGAACTTATTCTACTTGTTGCTCACTAACTAAATATGTCAGGTGAACTTATTCTGCTTGTTGCCCACTTACTGTATTTTCTATGTGAACTTATTCTACTTGTTGCTCACTGACTGTATTTTCTATGTGAACTTATTCTGCTTGTTGCTCACTTACTGTATTTGTTAGGTGAACTTATTCTACTTGTTGCTCACTGACTGTATTTTCTATGTGAACTTATTCTCCTTGTTGCTCACTTACTGTATTTTCTAGGTGAAATTATTCTATATGTTGCTCACTGACTGTATTTTCTATGTAAAATTATTCTGCTTGTTGCTCACTTACTGTATTTTCTAGGTGAAATTATTCTATATGTTGCTTACTTACTGTATTTTCTATGTGAACTTATTCTGCTTGTTGCTCACTTACTGTATTTTCTATGTGAACTTATTCTACTTGTTGCTCACTTACTGTATTTGTTGGGCAAACTTATTCTATTTGTTGCTCACTTACTGTATTTGTTGGCAGAATTTATTCTATTTGTTGCTCACTTGTGGCGCGGTAATTTAAGTCACAGGCGTTAAGGAAAGTTAAGTCCCACATGATGTGTATAAGGAGATACTCTGTACGTCACTCGGGAGCCAGTCCTTTACTGTTCTGGTTGTACGGAACCTCACCCAAGACACCTGCAGCACGTCCTCATCCTGCGCTGGGACCAAACAGATAACGATATGCCTGACGCAGGATGTTAAATTTTGTTGGGCTAACGGCTCGTCAAAGATACCTAACGTGCGAAGAAAAAGAAAGCACCTATTTGGCTGGTCATAAAAGTCCAGAATTCGCGAGCTGCTCCCCGCTGACTTCCGGAGGGTGCAGCCCTTGTCGAGCGGGAGGCCTAATACGGTTGTGAGGTCAAGCAGGCATGTGCAATTCCCTAGGTGAGCCCAGAACCAGAGACCCATGTGCCGGCTATGCAAAAATGGAAGCCTCCTTGGATGGTGGGGAATGCCCATGATCTGCCCCTGCCTTCCCTTGAGGGCCAACCGTTCCACAGGGGGCTGCCCTAAAGGGGTACTCTGGGGGCAATACCTGCGGAGAAGGAGACAAAGTTGACACCACACAAATCAGGCAACGTCTCGACCCACACAAAACAATGGCCACAGTCATCCTAAAAATAGACCTGACGTCTTCCCTCGAAGTCGGAGTACAGCTGCCCATGAGGCAGGGAACAGCAAAACGGTTGTACATGAAAAACTCAGGTTCAGGTAAAAGCCAAAAGTCCAAGCAGATGATTAACCGGGACCTTTTGCCGGAATTCACATCCGGTAAACAAAGAAGAAGTTGCTCACTTACTGTATTTGTTGGGTGAACTTATTCTATTTGTTGCTCACTTACTGTATTTTCTATGTGAACTTATTCTACTGGTTGCTCACTGTATTTTCTATGTGAACTTATTCTACTTGTTGCTCACTTACTGTATTTTCTATGTGAACTTATTCTACTTGTTGCTCACTTACTGTATTTTCTATGTGAACTTATGCTGCTTGTTGCTCACTTACTGTATTTGTTGGGTGAACTTATTCTACTTGTTGCTCACTTACTGTATTTGTTGGGTGAACTTATTCTACTTGTTGCTCACTTACTGTATTTTCTATGTGAACTTATGCTGCTTGTTGCTCACTTACTGTATTTTGAGAACCTCAAGTTCTCTCAGCCTCTCCTCCTGTTGTCGCAGCTCCTCCTCGGTCTGCACAAATTTAGCTACCGGAATGTCCTCCCTCACCATGCGCCGATGAAAGCGATTCAGACCATAGTGCTGTGTTACTGTGCCGGAAACAAACAATCATAGATATGACATACTTCTAGGACCCTTTTGCTTGCCTTCAGGGATATTAGGCCAAAGCTATATTTTATGGATCAATCGGCACTCGGTGGGTGCTGTGGTCAAAAATCACATAGACCACTTTTACTTCCCAGGACTTTACCTGCTACCTATTTAAGGCTGAATCGACCCGGCAATCAAAGTCATTTTTGTAAAAATGTCTGGCCACAATCAAGATTTGAACTCACAACTTTGGATCTACAGGTGGGCATCAACCACTAAACCATGGCGGCAACCAGATGACATTTGATTTCAGCATTTTAATTCAAGAGCAACTGATACGACCTGAAAAAAACTCAACATGCTTACAGAAACTAGTGCAGAGATCAAATGTGGAGCAAGAAAAAGCAGCGAAACAAGTGGGATTATAACATGAAGAGACAAACAGAAGTCTGTCGGTCTAAGAAATAACAGAAAAAAGGTGGACACTGCCAGATATCCACTACCAACAACCTTCGTTGTGGAGTCTGCACATGAGTGAACTGAAATGAGACTGAGCAAAGTGTAGTTGTGTGAATGAGCAATGGATGCAGAGAGATGTAAGTTAGAATTGTTGGGTATGGCAAGGACATATTCCTGCAGGACACAATCAACATTATGAAGTGCCTTGCCGAGTGGCATGGGTGATCATGACTCTTCCCAACCTGTGATCTTCAGCTTGTTTGCTGCCACTCCTCAATGCCGTCTATTAAAAGGCCCGATTTTCTAGGGAAAATTCAGCATTGGTTTTCCCTTGCCTTCAGCGGGTTTGTGTATGATGGTCTTATTCCAACAGTCTTCTGTCTAAACAGATGTACCCTGCAAGGCATTAGGGAAAAGGGGTTATAAAATGTCACAGAGTTTTAAAGTATTGTACAGAGCTAGTTGTCCCACCAACTAACTCTACTCATCCTAATGACCACCGCCTATGTTGGCCCCCAGCTGCTTATTCAATATATTCACGGCTAACCTCTAAATCTAGAGGCCACTCTGCTGGATGTGCTTAGTTTTGGGATAGGTTCCTACCCTAGACAGGACAGAATAAATGTATTATAATCTACATCAAAGCTATGAAAACAGAACATTCTTCTTCTTCTTCTTCAGCATTCTGAATCTGTTTCGTGATGAGATCAAGTTTTACTAATGTTGGGGGTGTCGGCTCCACGCTTCAACCCCCAACCTGGAGAACCAGGGTGTCCCTCTGTAGAACATGGTGAGACAAAACTGCTGTAAGACTGACTAAAACTCTTCCCCGTGTTGGTTTTGTTGCCTATTTAGAAAAAAAAAAACACTCACACGCCACAGTCCTCTGAATATGTCGTCAGCTGACTAATTAAGATTCTGCTGAAGTCGTCGGGTGTGCTGTATCAAAAGACATAGATACTGCAGCATAGCTGTAAACCACAGCACAATATAACTGCCCTTTAAAGGGTGAACATCGAAGAAGTCAGCAAACAAATAAAGACAACAAGAGAAAAGGAACATAAATATAAAGGCAATGATGACAGAAATAATATAAACACACAAGTAATGATAACACTGTATGAAAACAAAAGTAATGATAACATTATATGAACAGTTTGTCCAATACACACATAAATGCAACCATTTGGGCAATAAACAGAGAAGATCGAGGATACAACAAAATGCTTTTTCATTAACTGTTAGCATAACGAGAAGAATGAGACTTAAATAATTCTATGATATAAGGAAACCTATTTCCCCATGTGTTTAACTGATCTCACAGTTCAGTCTCCACCCGAATGCTAATTGGACGGACCTGGGATCCCTAATGCAGTGGTTCTCAACCTTCCTAATGCCACGACCCTTTGATAAAGTTCTTCCTGTTGTGGTGACCCCTAACTATACATTTATTTTCATTGCTACTTCATAACTTCAGTAAACATGTATTTTCCGATAGTCAAAGGTGACACCTATGAAAGTGTTATTAAACCCCCCAAAAGGGTCACGACCCACAGGCTGAGAACCGCTGCCCTAATTCACGTAGAGTGCAGCACAGGTTCAATATTCTTATATGGCTGTTCATATGGGCAAATTTCTTTCATATATAATAAAACAAATGAAGACAACCCTTTCATTTGGAACACATAATAAGAGGACATGTAAATGGCTTTGTTATGTAGTGAGGTTATTTGAAGGCAGCAGGCCAGTCACAGCTGAGACACAGCAAGAAGTTACCTCTATAAAAGATGGATTGATGGAGTGAGAACAACCATAGGTTAAGTACACAATGGATCGATAGAGAGTGAGAACAACCATAGATGAAGTACACAATGGATCGATGGAGAGTGAGAACAACCATGTATGAAGTATACAATGGATCGATGGAGAGTGAGAACAACTATAGATGAAGTATACAATGGATCGATGGAGAGTGAGAACAACCATGGATGAAGTATACAATGGATCGATGGAGAGTGAGAACAACCATAGATGAAGAATACAATGGATCGATGGAGAGTGAGAACAACCATAGATGAAGTATACAATGGATCGATGGAGAGTGAGAACAACCATGGATGAAGTATACAATGGATCGATGGAGAGTGAGAACAACCATGGATGAAGTACACAATGGATCGATGGAGAGTGAGAACAACCATAGATGAAGTATACAATGGATTGATGGAGAGTGAGAACAACTATAGATGAAGTATACAATGGATCGATGGAGAGTGAGAACAACCATGGATGAAGTACACAATGGATCGATGGAGAGTGAGAACAACCATAGATGAAGTATACAATGGATCGATGGAGAGTGAGAACAACCATAGATGAAGTACACAATGGATTGATGGAGAGTGAGAACAACCATAGATGAAGTATACAATGGATCAATGGAGAGTGAGAACAACCACAAATAAAGTATACAATGGATCGATGGAGAGTGAGAACAACCACAAATAAAGTATACAATGGAACGATGGAGAGTGAGAACAACCATGGATGAAGTATACAATGGATCGATGGGGAGTAAGAACAACCATAGATGAAGTATACAATGGATCGATGGAGAGTGAGAACAACTATGGATGAAGTATACAATGGATCAATGGAGAGTGAGAACAACTATGGATGAAGTATACAATGGATCAATGGAGAGTGAGAACAACTATGGATGAAGTATACAATGGATTGATGGAGAGTAAGAACAACCATAGATGAAGTATACAATGGATCGATGGAGAGTGAGAACAACCATAGATGATGTATACAATGGATCGATGGAGAGTGAGAACAACCATAGATGAAGTATACAATGGATCAATGGAGAGTGAGAACAACCATGGATGATGTATACAATGGATCGATGGAGAGTGAGAACAACCATAGATGAAGTATACAATGGATCAATGGAGAGTGAGAACAACCATGGATGATGTATACAATGGATCGATGGAGAGTGAGAACAACCATAGATGAAGTATACAATGGATCGATGGAGAGTGAGAACAACCATAGATGAAGTATACAATGGATCGATGGAGAGTGAGAACAACCATAGATGAAGTATACAATGGATCGATGGAGAGTGAGAACAACCATAGATGAAGTATACAATGGATCAATGGAGAGTGAGAACAACCATAGATGAAGTATACAATGGATCGATGGGGAGTGAGAACAACCATAGATGAAGTATACAATGGATCGATGGAGAGTGAGAACAACCATAGATGAAGTATACAATGGATCGATGGAGAGTGAGAACAACCATAGATGAAGTATACAATGGATCGATGGGGAGTGAGAACAACCATAGATGAAGTATTCAATGGATCGATGGAGAGTGAGAACAACCATAGGTGAAGCATACAACAGAAATGACAAGCAAAAAAAGAAGGATGAGAAAGGAGACAGAAAGGGAAAGAATAAGACCACAGTTGTGTTGAAAATCTTAAGGACATCTATAAAGCTTACTCTCTTCATTTTGCATCTGATAGGCTAAGGCCCCATCTTCATGTACTGCCCACTGTTTCCTGACTGCAACAAGAAAGAAACACTTGTCAGAACAAACATGAAACGTCTTTAAACATACAATTTAACAAATGTAAAAAATAAATAAATAAAAGCACAATAAAATATTTGCACTGATAATACTATAGATTAATTTTAAAAAACAAAAACAAAACATAAAGATCCTCTGGAAGAAACAAAACAAAACAAATTAAGGCTTACTGAAATGTTAACACTGATTATGACTGACAAACACACACACAAAAAGATAAAAAAGGAAACATCCTCAGACAAAACAAAGGCATACTTAGTGTTGATGATATACTGATAATATTGAAAGCATCATCTTAAATCTGTAAAACTGATATATAACGCGACAAATGGTGTCAATCAATCAGCTTGTCCTGTATAGAAAGTCACAGTCTTCATGGCAGGCCTGAAGGTTTATCTTTTTCTAGCCAATTCTCCAGCCCTGTGTGCTTTCTCAGCCTGGATCAGCAAGTAACAACCTATTGCACACAAATAAGCCAGTAAAAATGATGAATTGATGTTACACATAAAATTGAGGCTCTGATACAAAGCTAAACAACCAGGACTTTCCACATGAGTTTACAACCGGTGAATAAATAAGAAGTTCAAAAGATCTGTTCTTCAAAGCTGAGTGAGAGTCCATGATTGACATTAATAAGTTACCACGGGAAAGATGCATGATGATGATCTCAAAATAGATTGTGGGTGGGTGTACTCATAGCGACTATGGTGTTCGGCAATTGGCGGTCTTTTGGCAAATTCCGTTACCATGGAAACCGTTCGAAACTTGCTTCGCAAATGTCGGCTGGGGTTTCGGGATGGGTCCTAATCTCTCATGAAATTTTGCGATTGGTGTGATTTTCACCTACTATAAAAAGCTGAAAACGGCGGGAAGGAACCCGATTAACAGCGCATGTCTACGACAGCCGGACGTTCTCTGTTTTTCTGTTACATCAGTTTGATTGAAAATAGCGATAAGTATTCAGGGTTGGCTTTAGGCTTTAACTGTTACTGGTAATACTAGTTATAATTGAATTCTCCATCCAATTTTACATTTGTGTATAAAATTTCTTTCTGAACCGTGGCTAGGTAGATGTGCAGTGACATTTTTAAGGCAATCACTGGCTCAGCCAGTGGCTGTGTCTCATTGTCTGCCATCTTGTCCAATGACAGTCCAATGTAAACAAAGCCAAAACGATAAGTGAGCAGTTTGGTTGCGCAGAGAAAACCTTGTTTCTAGACGCAAGTTTTAGCAGCTGCTTTCTACATCTCATCTCATCTCCACAAAAACCTACATATCTCAGCTCAGAAATGACATACAAGCCTAAATGAGGTACCGTTGGAAAGAGATTGTTTACAGCTATCTAACTGTGCTGGTTTTATTGGTGTAGAGGACATTTTGAAAATTTGACTAAAGTACCTATACTGATATACTGAGTTTGAACAATGAAATAGTGAAATACTGTTCGATTTCTTCTGTTGGTGCTACTATACATGATTTTATCAGAAAAAAAAAGAACTTTAACATATTGAACGAATCTGACAAAATCAAGACAGGTAGGAAGGTCCGAGAACTGCACTGTGTGTACTGAACTGAGTTGAGTGTTGTCAAGTTAGTGTACTGTACTGTCTCTCCTATGTAATGTTGTACCTTCTTGGACTCTTCCCTGAGAGAGATCAGTCGGTGAATCCTCCGGAGCGCCTGCCATTCTGTACCGTGTCAACGTCTCAATCAACTTGTCCGTTCACATGATTTTATTTATTTCCGAGACGTGCTCGTCTGTCCTAACAAACTGTTCAGCGCAAATCTGCAGTCCCCTCATAAGAAATGGACATATTTTGCCTGTAAGCACAACCCGGAAGTTGTGGCTTTCGGGTAACCAGAGTTGTCTTCCCACTTATTTGGTCATCATCATAATCAAGTGCCTTGCTGTCTGGCGTTGGCGACCGTGGCTCTACGATCTGTGACCCACCAACAGAATTAATCAGCTCATGTGCTGAAACCCCACAATACCATGCTTGTCCTCGCTTAATGCCCAAATTTAAACAGGGTGTTCTTCGTCTCAGAATCCTTTGTCTCAAAGCCTTTGGAACGCAGCGCCTTTATTATGTTTGTATAATAAACAAATTATGCATCACACTTGCAGAAAAAAAGTAGAAAGATAGGACACACTAGACAACATACAAATCGAAAGCTATAGTTACAGTTCCAGGAATCGAACCTGTAACCTCCAAATGGTGCATGCACCTTGTTTATTTATTATGTCCGCCCTGTTCATACCTTTTCTTTTACTAACTTCTGCAGACACGGCCAGTCTGCCGGCTTTTTCATTTCCTTTCACCATGCATTGTCCTGGTGTGTACAGTCACAAGACAGTAGTTTCTTGAGACAGAACTTCTAGATGCTATCAACCCATTCTAGTTGCAGCTTGCAATTTTGGGTCTTCTCATTTATGTTTATGGAGTTTGTCATTATCAGTGCGCTAATTGCAATTTTTGGTCTTCTCATATATGTTTATGGAGTCTGTCTTTATCATTGCGCTAATTGCAATTTTGGGTCTTCTCATATATGTTTATGGAGTCTGTCATTGTCAGTGCGCTAATTGCAGTTTTCGATCTTCTCAAATATGTTTATTGAGTCTGTCACTATCAGTGCACAAATTGCTTTCTATTCCTCCAGCCATGCAATCGGCCCTGTGACAGCTGCTATTTCCATCCAAATTTTTTTTAAGGGGGAAGGGGGGGGGGGGTGGGTGTAATAGGGCTAAGTGGTCACCACGTACACTTTCTAGGTAGATGTTCTAGTTAAAAGTATTTACTTATACATTTTATATTAATTTCAAATATATATTTTTTATTTTGGAGCCGCCGTGGTCTAACGGCTAGATGCTTGCCTGCCGATCGAAAGGTTGTGGGTTTAGCTTCCAGATCAACCCAGCCTTAAGTGGGTACCAGGTACAGTCCTGGGAAGTAACAGTGGCCAGTGTGATGCTGACCACATCACCCACCAAGTTCCGTTTGGTCTATAAAATATTGGTATACACAATACGCCCAAAGGTGTGGAAAAATTTCTTTTACTTTACTTTATTATATTATGATGCGTGCTGTGAATTTGGACTAACAGTCAGCAAAAATAAGACAAAGGTTATGGTGCAAGGTGTCAATGACAGACCTACAGTCTACACTGATGGTGAAGAGCTTGAGACAGTAGACCATTTCACCTATCTGGGTTCCACAGTGAAAAGTAAACTATTGCTGGACCAAGAAATCAACACCAGGATAGGTAAAGCAGCAACAACAATGAGCAGATTGACAAAGAGAGTTTGGGAGAACAGAAAGCTCACAATTAAAACAGAAACCCTTGTCTATCAGGCTTGTGTTCTCAGCACTCTGCTTTACGGCAGTGAAACTTGGTCAACCTATATGCACCAAGAGAGACGGCTAAATAGCTTTCACATGCGATGCCTAAGAAGAATACTTGACATTAAGTGGCAGGACAAAATCACAAACACTGAGGTGCTGGAAGGAGCAGGTACTACAACAGTTTTTTTCCATGCTCAGTCTACGAAGGCTCTGGTGGCTGGGTCACACCTGGAGAATGGAGGATGGCAGAGTCCCAAAGGACATCCTTTTTGGTGAATTGAAGACAGGAAGAAGATGTCAAGGCCAACCTCTACTACGTTATAAAGATGTATGCAAGCGAGACATGAATGATACAGGTATTGAGGCAGACTCATGGGAACAAGATGCCATGGACCGTATTGTGTGTGAGACTGAAGGAAGAAATAATTGCAGAAAGGATGAGAGCTGAGTGTCTGAAAAGAAACGGATTAAACACAAATGTTGTTAACAATAGTTTTGAAATCCCATGTTATCATTATGGAAGACTTTTCTTGACACGGGCAGGTCTTGCTAGTCACACTCACCATCGCCATAGGCTGTGAGTCTCATGCCTCATAATAGCGCAATATAACACTATCGTCTGGAAAGACGGAAAGGTGCCAATGAATTATATTAGCCACTCAACCCATTATTTGTCTTGTTATTTGTCTTACTATATTAAGGCGCCTCCCTCGTGGGGGTTTCGGGCTGCAACGTGGGAAAAACAAGAATAGATCCACTGCCTTCCCAGCAAGCATGTCGTAGGAATCGAGTAACTGGGTACTTCCTTTGAAGCCCGAGCGGCAAGGAACAACCAACCGCACATAAATAAGTCAGTAAAACATATGTACACGCAACAACTCAGGCCCTGGCATAAAGCCAAAGTCCAAATGGACGAACAGTCAGGACTTTCCTTCGGAGCTTACAGCTGATGAAAAAAGAGGAAGAGGAAATAGTGCATCTGCCTGAGAGGCAAGGAACCAACAGTCTGCTTACAAATAAGCCAGATCTGTAAAAAGGATGAGCACACAAAACTCGAGTTCTGAACAAAACTCAAGTCCAGAACTGGATGAACAACCAGAGCTTTCCACTGAAGTTTACAGTCTGTCAAAGGGAAAAAAGACGAAGAAAAGACATGACACTGTTTGAAAACTGCACTGGAGTGAAAAGCTAAAGGCAAGAGAGCAAGAGATAGACAGTGATACAAACAGGCAGACAACATCAAGAAAAGTCTAAGAGGGTGTGGAACCAAATCAAGAGACAAAGTGTGTTGGAGATCCATTATAGCCATCTTCAGTGTGGAGATGGCACTGAATTATTTGTTTAATTAATTAATTAATTAAGCAGAAAAAGAGACAAGAAAGAAGACTTTTGAGGCACAAACCTCAATTGTTGTGTTGGTGAACAAATACTTTAACAGTTACACCACAACAGTCTTCAAAAATCACGATAAGACCACTTGGAAAACCCTTTTTCTTTATTTCTTGATGCAGTTATAATGTAAGGCCATTCACACAACAAGTAAACATCTTAAATGTAAAGTCGTACAATAATTTAAGAAATGAACAAATACATAAAATATTTTAGTACATGAACATATATATATACAGTGTGAAACACAGGATGAGCCTACTAACAAGTCTTATCTTCACCTAACCAGTTCCGGTCACTGCAGTAATTCCACTGAAAGGTTCTCTTTCTCTCCCAGACAAAGGTTTCGTTTTACTCCTTAATTTTATCTTTAGGGAAAACTTCAAAGATGGCTTCATGTGCATATTTTTTCTATCAGATATTTTTTTTGGTTTCACGTTGACCTTGGTTGTTTATAATCTCTCTTGTTTTGTCCCCTGAGTTATCCAGGCACAGTTTGTGTTATATTTAGTTAGTACTCAAATGATAGGGAGTCCCCATGGCGGAGCGGCTAGACGCTCGCAGCGGATCGAAAGGTGGTGGGTTCGCTCCCTGGCAGAGCCAGACTTTTTTCAAAAATGATCTTGGCTCCCAGGTCGATCCAGCCTTGAGTGGGTACCAGGTGCAGTCCCTGGAAGTAAAGGCGGCCGACGTGATGCCTAACCACATCACCCATCTTGTGCTAATTAGTTTATAAAAATATAGGTCTAGCCCTATATGCCCTATACGCCTAAAGGCATGGAAAAGGGTCCTTTGCTTTTTTGATAAAGAATTTGGTACAAATGTTCAACTGTATTTGTGCAAAATCTTATCCACCCTATGTTGTGCTATCTAGTCACATTTTATCTTGTATTTTGTACTGATTGCTGACAAACTTGACACAGTTATAATGTTTCTATATTTGTTTGAAAATTACATTCTGTGTGTGAAGGAGCTGTACCATAGTTTTATAATATTATCAGTGAAAGAAATCTCAGATGAAATACTGTCTCAGGGATGTGCGAGTATTAGCTGGACTCTTCCTCTTAAAAAAAAAACTATCTCAGTACTCAACACAAAATGGGATCTTTATTAATATCCTACCCCAGATGACGTCGTAGGACAGTCCAATATTTTAGAAGGTGGTAAGAATGGGTTTCCCAGCTTTCTGGTGCTTTTAACAACCCCAAAACATCTAGAACTGGCCCCAACACCAACCCACCTATGTCCCATGAGAGAGTGCAGTCAAGGTCCCACGACTGCATGCAGCTTATCTACCACCCCTGAAATATTAGACTGTCCTGTGACCTGTGGATTTTCCCTGTTTGGGAATATCCTAATATTATTAAAGCCCCACAAAGTGTCTAAAAACTATTTCTGCACTCACCAGTGTCTAAAAACCATGTCTGCCCTCACTACAAAGTGTCTATCACAGAATCGCTGAAAAAAAAAATTATGCCTTAGAAAAGTTGGCAGTGCTATGCAACATTGCGTACTGCCAGATTAAAAATCCCTTGTTGTTATGGTTTCACATATACATGGCCATAGTTTTTTTTAGATGAGATATCACCAGTGGGATATTGTTTTTCTTCTTTGCAACTTTGCTTTCCAGTACGGGCTCAAACCAAAACTCAGGGTCGTCAGAAGAAGCATCTAAGCCTTGTTCTACCACTGCTTTCCAATAAATAATAATACCCAGATCTGTTGTCTCAACAAGTAAACGAATCACGGTGCCACTGATGCTTAGTTTAACTCCCAAAAAGTGTCTAAAGTAAAGCCAGGAGAAACAGATAGAAACAAATATCACAGTGTGGGTTCTTGGGCCTCATTTAGGAAAGGGGGGGGGGGGGGAGAATTGATCCACTCTCACCTAATTCCCCATCAACAAGCATGTCATTAAAGGTGACTAAATAAAGGTGTTTCTTTTGAAGTCAAAGTG